AGACCTTAACCAACAGTGGGCTTCCACCTCGGGTGTTTTTCCCTTGAGGCCAGGTAGACCTCAGCACATTGGAATTCAAGGTTTCTATTCTATCAAGCCAGAGTCAAAATCTATCTTCTCTCTAGACCTCAGGATGGCCTTTGTTGTAGCAGGAGATGGACTTCAATGGCTGGAGGCAGCCATAGGTGTTATTCTGGGCTCTATTATCTGTGATTCTTTCCCAGTTTCTTTCTGAATGTCCGCAGGTGGGCTCCAGTGCTAAATTCAGCCACGTTTGAAGTCACAAAAAAGGGCTCCGCCGTGATGGTCTCTTCCACCAGCAAAGCCAAGGATTACATAATCCAGTCCCGAGGGCAGGCTCTCCAGCCACGTGGCCTGACCGAAGCCTCCGTTCCACCACTTAGAGCTGGTGGCATGGTGCCCAGGTTCACGAACTTCTCTGTGCTTCAGTCCCTCCCTGGAGAACAGAGGCCTGAACTGAGCCTTGCACGTCATACATGGTAGGGCTCTGGTGAAAATTAAATGAGTTAGTCCACGAAGGTGCCTCATGGGGTATCTGGCACATGGACGCCCTCAGTCACTTTGCCGTGATTGCTAACAGCGGCCCCAGTAGAGCCGGGGATCTTCAGTTACCCTGGTTGGCGTGGCCGGGTACTTGGTGCAACTCCGGGAGATGATAAAGGACAGGGAGGCCTGGCATGCTGCAGTCAGGAGGTCACAAAGGGTCTGACACGACTGAGCGCCTGACCAGCGGCAGCAGCATCTGAGATGTAGAGCAGCTTGGCTTCTGTAGGTGGGTGACTGCCCCCCTCCTGAAAGCAGCCTGGGCTTTCACTTTTACTGCTGCTGTCCACCGCGAAGGTGTCCAGCGCTTCCCGATCTACTGTTTAGGTTCAGGGAGTGGCTCCGAGCAGAGTCTGGTCATCCCGGGGGTCACGGAGCACAGCCTGTGCAGCACCGTTGCGTGTGAACCCCCCAGAGGGGATGTGAGTGGTGCCTGCTGGAGTTGTGAGCTGTGGTGTCTCAGAGGGAAAACCGTGTGACTTGTATCCACTTGCCCAAGCGTTTCACTTTCCGCCCAGCTTGATGAATGTTTGGTCTTCTTGCAAAGCGATCCTGTACTCACTTCTGAGTGTAAGAATTTGCCATTTGTGCCTTTCGTTTTAGAGTGGTTCGTGTGTGTGATGCTGGTTTTCAGTGCTCGCTTGCTGCTGTGATGCCCAAGGAGCATTTAAATTGTCCACATTGAGGCACCAACCAGGAGATTAGTACCAACCAAGAGATGGGGCTTCCGGGAAAACTCGGGTGTCTGTGTTTTTAAAATTTTCTCAGCTGCAAAGCTGTAGTATGGGACTGGCACAAAAACAGACACCTAAATCAATGGACAGCATAGACCAGAAATAAGCCCATACATTTTTGCTCAGTTAATCTGTGATAAATGAGGCAAGAATCTGTAATGGAGAAAAGACATTGCCTTCAATAAGTGGTGCTGGGGAAACTGGGCAGCTACAGCAGAAGATGGAAATTAGAACACTTTCCTCGTGCCATATACAAAATAAACTCAAAATGGATTAAAACCTGAATTTACGACCTGAAACCGTAAAACTCCTGGAAGAGAATGTAGACAGAACATTCTTTGACATAAATCACTTCTTTTTGGATTTGTCTGCTAATGCAGAGGAAACAAGACCAAAAATAAATGAATGGGACTTAATTAAACATAAAAACTTGTCCACAGCAAAGGCAATAATCAAAAAGCTGAAAAGACAACCTATTGAATGGGGGAAATATTTGCAAACGATAAGGGCCTATAAGTGACCCTATAAGGGGCTAATATCCAAAATATATAAACAGCTCATACAACTCAATGTCAAAAAACAAACACCCCAATTTAAAAATGGACAGAAGTTCTGAACAGACATTTTCCCAAAGAAGATATACACATACAGATGGCCAACAGGCTTATGCAAAGATGCCCAGCATCATTAATTATAAGGTAAATTCAAACTAAAACCACACCTGTTAGGATAAGATACCTCACACTGTTAGAATGGCCATCATCAAAAAGGATACAAATAATAAACGTTGGTGAGGCTGTGAGAAACTGGCACGCTCCTGCACCATTCATGGGAATGTCAATTGGTGAAGCCACTGTGGAAAACAATTTGGAGATTTCTCAGAAAGACTAAAAATCAACCTACCATATGACCCAGCCATTCCACTCTTGGGTATATATCAGAAAAAAGAAAATGCTAATTAAAAAAATTACATGCAACTTAGTATTGTATAGTTGCCAAGATATAGAAGCTACCTAAGTGTCCTTCCACATATAAATAGATAAATAAGATGTGGCGCACACACACACACACACACACACACACACACACACACACACTGGAATACTACTCAGCCATAAAAAAGAAAGATATTCTGCCACTTGCAACAACATAGATTGACTTGGAGGGCATAATGCTTAGTGAAATAAATCAGATAGAGAAAGACACATACTGTATTACATCCCCTATATATGGAAATATAAAAAATACAGCAAACTAGCAATTATAACAAAAAAATTTTAACAAAATTTAACAAAAACAAAAAATTATAACAAAAAAACAGATATAGAGAATAAACTAGCGGTTATCAGTGGGGAGAGGAAAGGGGGAAGGGCAACATGGGGTAGTGAACTAGCAGGTACAAACTGCTGTGTATAAAATAAGTAAGCTACCAGGGTATATGGGACAGCACATAGATTGTAGCCAATATTTGGTAATAACTATGAATAGGATATAACCTTTAAAGCTGTGAATTACTCTGTTGTACCCCTGAAGTTTATACAATATTGCACATCAGTTCCACCTCAGTTAAAAAAAATCCTCAGATGAGCAGCCCAGGATAATAGCTTCTGACTGATTGTCTTGTTTTGACCCTCATGCCAACCCTGAGAGAATTGGAGAGATGTCACTGTGCCCTTTTATAGATGAGAAACCCAGCTCTCCGAGGGTGAGATGTGCCTGCAGTCAGATAATTCGTTCACGTTTTACTCAGGATAATACAGTTCTGTTCCTTGGCCAACACTTCCTAAATCTCAATAGCTTAAACAGGGAACATCTATTTCTTACAGCACCATTAGCTGCCAGCAGGTGGCTTCCTGTACCCCCATTTGAGGAGGGTCTTGGGGTCTTTCCACCCATTGGTCCAGGCTGTTTCCTCTTCTCCACGGTCACCTGTCTCCCAGTGACTCACTCCCAGGAGTGTGTGCAGAAGATAGAGCTTTGTTGTGTTTATGACCAGACTGATGGTGATGGCTGTATCCTTGGTCCACATTCCATTGGCCAGAACTCAGTCATGAAGCCCACCTAGATGTAGGGGATTCTGGGAAATGTAGTCTTGTGTGTCCAGGAGAAACAATCCAGTTTGGTAAACATATAGTATAGTTTCTACCACTACTGATAACATAAGGCAGTGAAATCTAAGTCGCAAGAATCTTTTTAGTGTTAAAACTGTGTTACTACTGACGTTTTTTCATCATCACAACCATCCAAAGAGGTAGTTATCGCCCCACTTTTTAAGGATGAAAACCTGAGATTCAGAAAACCGCAGTGTCATGGAAGAGGCCACCCCTTGAGGAAGGAGCAGGGGAACGGACGACTCACCCTGGTCTCCCCTCTCTTAAGCCTAGGGCAGTTTGGTGGGTCCACCCCTGCTGTCCACAGCCTGTGGGGCCGAAGCAGAGCCGGGCCAGGACGCGGATTCCAGGCTGTTTCCTGTTGCATGTTCTGAGCTGTGTTATCGCGTGGACTGAGGACACAGGCTGAAGCAAGTCTTCATTGACCAGAGTCGGGGCTTGGGGGGGAGCAGACAACAACTGAAGTTTAAAGTTTCTGGAATGTTTTCCTGTCATCACATGGAAATACAGAATTTTCCTACTTCCTGAAATCTGCTCATAACGCCTCCCAAAGGCCTTCTCTCTGAAAGCCTCGCAGAAGACCCCATCCTTCCTGCACAAGCAGCTGGGTGACAGTCCATAATGAGGGGTGTCGCTTATAACGCCCGGGAGGCCTTCTGCCTGCAGCACCGTCCCAGAGAAACCATCCTCCAGTGTTGTTTTCTGTTCGACAGACCTCAGGCAACTTCCCGACAAGAACTCTGTTGGACGCCAAAGGCCCAAGTAGAGGTCATCTGACGACATTTCTTCTCGTTTTACTTATAGCCACTTCTCCACAATGCTCATGTTTGCTCGTGTGCAGCTGAAGCCGTTTCCTCTGGGAGGAAGCCCCCAGTGCCCTCAGCGGCCACCACCTGCCCACGGCATGTGATCTGAGGGCCTCTCAAGCAGCCCCAGCCTGACCCGTCAGCCCGGGGCCCCCACTGCCAGCTCAGCCTCTTTGGAAGACAGAAGGGGTGAGGCTAGCACTCAGCCTGGAGACCTTCCAAAACTAGTTCTAGGAGGATTCAACAGACTTCCAGGCCCCACCTGAGTCATTCCCGACCCTCAGCCAGGCTCCGTGGGACAGACCCAGAGCCCTGCCTGGCTCGCCCCTTGCTGAGATGGACAGCAGGGGTCCTGACCACTCTGCATCCATCATCATGGTCTCCTCTCTGCCCCAGCCCCGGGTCACTGTCGGTAGCTCCACGCCAGCTCATTCACTCCTTCAGACGGGCAAGGGCACTGCAAGTCTCTCTCTCTTCTGGGCTCTGGGCCCTCTCAGCACAAAGGAGCACTCCCACCTCACCCCAGAGGTGAATGCCACTTTCTCAGCCTGGAATTGACCCCTCAACCAAGAAAAGATTTAAGGAAGCAAGGCAGGAGGACAGGGGGACTACAGAGGGTGAGATGGTTGGATGGCATCACAAACTCGATGGACATGAGTTTGAGCAAGGTCTGGGAGATGGTGATGGACAGGGTAGCCTGGAGTGCTGCTGCCCATGGGGTCACAAAGAGTCAGACACGACTGAGGGACTGAACGGCAATGACAATAGAAACAGAAGTCAGCAAATCCATCTCAGAAAACCCGCATGTGTTGCTTTTGTCTGAGCTCTCAGGAAGGCAGCTTAGAGACTGTTAACTGTAGAAGCTCAGAAGGCCTGGCATGGTGCCACACCAGAGTCTAGAATACTCACATCAAAGAGGCAAGTGTCAATACCGTGACTCAGAGATCCTGGAGTAATAACAGTCAAAGCCAGAGTCATCAATTCAACCAGAACCGTGTATTTATCATGATATCTCCTGCCTGCTGCCTCCAATGGCTTCTCATGAATCAATGAGCCTCTCCACTTGCATATCAATATCTTGTTTCATTTCAAACCAGAAAATGAAAGGCAGGATTAGGTTTTGTTCTCAAAGTCTATTTTTCTATGCTATTGATCCAGGTGGCAACTACAGATTGAAACTCAGAATGGGTTCTCTCTTCAGGTCATTTTTTTAAATGGGTTTTTATTTTCATCAGCGATGAATGAAGCAAAGGCGACTTCTGGAGATGGAACTTGAAGGCATCATAGTGGTCCCGAGTTTGGAAGTTTTATAAAAGCTGGTTGCGGGACTCGATTGAAATGGTGCTCAGAACAAGCCTCCACGCCAGACTTGTGCTCAAGTCCATGTGGTTCCTGACACTCAAGCTCTGAAGGATGGTATTTGAGTTTGTATACTTGGCATTTCAGATGCTGGTGCATCTGGCTCCTGTCCTGGTCAGAAAGAGGCAGAGCTGGAAGCAGGCACATCCGTGGTGGTGGAGTGGAGTTGTGTGGACAGAACAGCACATGGATGGTTCCCTCGATGTGTGGGGGAGGCTGCTGGGCACAGGTGACCCTTCCTGCAGCACCCGTGTGCCCTCCTGTCTCCTCGCTGGCCGACCTGATCATCTTCCCTCGGGCCACAGGCAGCCCGGCAGCCCACCAGCCCTCTGAGCCCACTCCTCATCCAGCGCAGGTCCCCAGGACTTGCAAACTGCATCACAGAGTTTCCACGTTGGGGGGGCGGGGTCACAGTGGGCCCGGACTGCCCTGCCTTCCAGCGATGAAGCTTGACCCCATGACACCTTGCTCCTCTGTCGCTGGTGTTTCCACCGGGAGACCCCAGTGCTTGATCTGTGGTGTTTTGGACTCATAATCTGGGCTCTGTCTTTGGCACAGTAGGCAGCTGAAATCTAGGCTGATCTCAATAGGGAGGCAGAAGATGAATCATTTTCCAGTGGGCTGGAGACCTACAAAATAAACATCGGTTCATGAACTTAAAAGACTCAGGAATGATCAAATTTGTATTTATCTTCTCTCTATGAAAATAGCATCCAAGGCAAGAGATGCTGCTTTTATATATTGTTATTTCTACCCAAAGTATTCTCTCTCACTTAAGGCAAGTATCTGGGGACTTCCCTGGTGGCCCAATGGTTAAGACTCTGCCCTGCCAGTGCAAGGGGCCATGGGGTTTGATCCCTTATCAGGGAACCAAGATCCCACTTGGCGCACAGCCATGGCCAAATAAATGAATACATGTCACTGTTATGATTTAACTTGAAGAAAAGGGACATATTTGTTTGGAGGCAGAGGTAGGTGTTGATCCATCAAACTGAAAAGCAGGTTTTTAAACAGACTGTAGTTTCCTGAGGGTGCGTCTTAAATAAGTTGCCAAGTACATACTTGAGATTAGTAACAGAAAGTTTAATTTTGGAAGGACCTGAGTGATGGGTCTTCTTACTTACCTTGTTTCACAGTTGAGGAAACAGGTTCAGAAAGGCAGACCCTCCTATGCCACAGAACTAGTCTGTGGGAAACTTGGGTTTAAAACCCGTGAACACTGATTCTCGTGATGAAACTACAACATGATGAAAAGGATTATAATAGTGGTAAAAATATCTGCAGACAATGTGTTGTTATTATCTCTATTGTGTAGATGGTAAAACTCAGGCTCAGAAACATTAAATAACCTTCCTGGGGTCACAGAGAGAAGAGTGTCAAAGCAGGATTTAGTACCTGGGCTGGTCTAATCAGATAGTCAGTTTGTTGTCTTCCCATTGTAGGAGAGTGCCTTTTGGTTATCTTTTGGAAGGAAGAAAATTTTCTTCCAAAGAAATTAATGATTAAAGAGCCTTCAGTTCAGTTCAGTCACTCAGTCAGGTCCGACTCTTTGCAACCCCATGGACTGCAGGACGCCAGGCCTCCCTGTCCATCACCAACTCCTGGAGCTTGCTCAAACTCACGTCCTTTGAGTCGGTGATGCCATCCAGCCATCTCATCCTTCATCGGCATCCCCTTCTCCTCCTGCATTCAATCTTTCCCAGCATCAGGATCTTTTCAAATGAGTCAGCTCTTCGCATCAGGTGGTCAAAGTATTGGAGTTTCAGCTTCAACATCAGTCCTTCCAATGAATATCCAGGAATGATTTCCTTTAGGATGGACTGGTTTGATCTCCATGCAGTCCAAGGGACTCTCAAGAATTTTCTCCAACACCACAATTCAAAATCACTTCAACACCAGAGTTCAGTTCTTCAGCACTCAGCTTTCTTTATAGTCCAACTCTCGCATCCATACATGACCACTAGAAAAACCATAGCCTTGACTAGATGGACCTTTGTTGGCAAAGTAATGTCTCTGCTTTTTAATATGCTGTCTAGGTTGGTCATAACTTTTCTTCCAAGGAGCAAGTGCCTATATAAGAGCTAAAACTTTTTAACCCCTAGGAAAAAAGCACAGGCCTGATCTCCTCTAAAAATAGAACAAAATAGAAATTCTAGAACTGAAAAATACAACATCTGAAAGAAAAGAATTATTAAATGTCACCTTGGATTAAACAGTGATTTCTAAGATGTGACACCAAAAGCCAAACAAAAGACAAAAATAAATACATTGGAGTTATTCAAAATTTTAAAAATTTGTTTATCAATGAACACCATCAAGGAGGTAAAAAGACATTTGCAGAATGGGAGAACATTTTTCCACATCCTGTGTCTGACAAGAGACTTCTAGCACATATAAAACTATAAAAACAGCCCAATTAAAAGGGAACAGGTATTGGAAAAGACCCTGATCCTGGAAGAGAATGAAAGCAAAGGAAAAGAGGGTGGCAGTGGGTGAGATGGTTAGATAGCATCACCAACTCAGGGAACATGAATTTGAGCAAACTCCAGGAGACAGTGAAGGACAGGGAAGCCTGGCATGCTGCAGTCAATGGGGTTGGAAAGAGCTGGATGTGACTTAGTGACTAAACAACAAATTATTTACATCTTTTTAAAAATATCTTCGAACAGTTCATAACAGCTGTTGCAAAGGTCTTGTGCTGCTGTTCCGTCCATTGTCCTTCAGTCTATTCCTATAGAATTATTTCTCCTGGGTTATGGGTTAGTTTCCTGGTCCTCTGGATGTCTCATAGCTTTTCACTGAATGCAGCACACTGTGGGTTCTATGTTGTTGAGAATCTGAATTTTTTAAATTTCTGTAAAGAGTTTGAGTTTTGTTGTAGGAGGTGTTTGGTTTCCTGGCTGGTCAGAGGGAGTCTGCATCAGAGGCTGGTGATCACCCCCCTGGGCCAGTTGCTTCAGCAGATTCCAGCTCCGATTGCTGTCCTCTTCCAGTGAGGCCCCTACTCCTCTGTGGTCCCCGCCTCCGTGTGCTGTGGGTCGCACGTAACCCTAAGCAGACAGCTGGTGTGGACCAGGAACTTGCCTTGTGCTCACCCTGCTCTCAAGGGTCACCATCCTGCACTGCCTGTAATCCAATACCTGAATTGGCTTTATGTGTTTTGTCCAGAGTTATTAATTGCTTATAGTGGGAGGGTAAGTCTGGAACATAACTCCACCATGACCTGAACCATAGGTCTCTCCTGACTTATTTTAAATCATTCTGTTTTAGGTATATTAATATTTAAGTAGTTCCCTAGTAGCTCAGTCAGTAAAGAATCTGCCTGCATTGCAGGAGACCTGGGTTCGATCCCTGGGTCAGAAAGATCCTCTGGAGAAGGAAATGGCAACCCACTCTAGTATTCTTGCCTGGGGAATCCTGTGGACAGAGAAGCCTGGAGGGCTACAGTCCACGGGGTCTCGGGGGCCGGCCTTGATTTGTGGCTTAACCCCCCCCCAGTTGTTTTTCAATGCTTAAATTTTCTTATGGGGAGAAGTTCAAGAGAGATTATAAGATTAACAAAATTTTTGTGTACTGTGTATTCCTTAGAGAAATCTCAGGTTTATTTAAACCATTTTAGGTGTTTGTATTTTTTTTTTTAGAAGTTAAACATTAGGTAAAACCAAATATGGTTAAACAAGGGATAGGTATTTTGAGTTGACTTCACACCATTCTACTAAATCAGATGGTAATATTCAGAAAAGTACTATAAAATTCTCATTTTACAGGTGCAAAAATTTAGAAGTCAGCCCCTGTATGTGACAGGGTCACCTTGGGAAATAATTTGGAGCATATCTATTTGTCTTCATCTTCTCATTTCTGGAATACACTCTATGTTTTTAATTTCAATTTCATGTCTCTATTGGCATGCCATTTGCTCTTCTTCCTCACACTTCTATTCATTGAGAAAATTCACTAAGACTATACAAGGAACAGGATATGAGCTCTTTCCCAGGTCCTTTTCAAATAGCTCCACTCTTTGACTTTAAACAATGGAAGTCATAATGTGATTATTGTCACATTATTATCTGATTATTGTCAGGCTGTGAGGGAAGAGAGATTTAGGGTAATCCACTCACTGTCTTTCTCTGAGCTCTTCTCTGCCTTCGAGTTGCCTTTGATTTTCTGATCTCGCACCATCGTTTTTCTCACTCTTGTCCTGTGCGTCTCACCCTCGGGTTCCAGAACTCACGCTTTAATCCCAGTAAGGTGTTAGTGACGGAAGCTGGCTTAGTCCTCGTTTTACTCACTCACCATTCTTGTCATAAACCTGGTGATTCTGCTTCCGTTTTCCAGTTCCTCACATCCTCTTACTGTACATCCCTCAATAAACTGAAAATGACACCTCCCTTCAGATTTCTCATGTGTGTTTCCGAAGCAAAATGAAGCAGGGATTGATTCTGGTCCTCAAAGTACCAGGATGAAGTCCTCACTAATGATCCCATCAAAGGTCAAACCACCCAGGACATCATCTCAGGACGCCTGCCTGATAACGATGGATGTTTATTAAACTATCCCTCATGGGGCTGAGGATATGCTTTTGGAATGGTCCAGTTTTTCATGCAGACATTTGAACTTTACTAAACGAAATCTTGGAGAAACTGGAAACTATTTCCCTGTTGACTGCTTGCCTCGGTGGAGTGAGAAAGTAAGAAGCACCCGAGTGCTGATTATTTTTCTCAAGCCCAGCAGGTTCCAGTGTTTCTGGAGACCCAGTCTTCTCTGCCCTCAACATCTTTTCTGTCTTCCTTTTATTTTCCGTCTCAGCGATGTCTGACATGGCTGACCTACCTCCCACCTTAAACACTCTCTGGGGAGTCCCCCCTTTACAGGACTGGACATTCCTCTTCGGTTTCCTTGATTGGTTCCATCTCTTTGTCTTGACCTCTTCATGTTGAAATACCTTAGAGAAGTCTGGGCTGTCTTCTCTTTTCTGATACATCTAATTTCTGGATGAGCTCATCCAAGTCCACAGTCTCAGGTACCTATGTATATGGTGATGATTTCCAATTTTCTGTCTCTAGCCTTGTCCTCACATTTTAGCTCCAAACTCAGTTTTCAGAGTACCCATCTGACCCCACCATGTAAAATCCTCACTCAATCAAAATATGACTCCTCATCCCAGTAGCGTATCAAGATTGTTTCTTTAGCATAGCTTCCATCTCAGTAAGTGGTACCAACAACCACCCTGTTGCTCAAATCAAAAATGTTAAACCTATAATTTGCTCCTTTTTATTCTCATGGCCGTTCTAACCCACTCAGCAATCTCCTGTCCATCTTAAGTTCAAATTACATCCCGTTCAATTCATTATGTTCCACCCTCGCTACCACCATCACCTCTCGCCTGGATCACTGAAGTCATCCTCAGAAGATGCCGCTGCTCCCGTCCTGCCCTCCTGTAGGCCATTCTCCATGAGGAAGCCAGAGTGACCCTGTAAAAATGGTAATCCAATCAGGCCACTTTCCTGCACATCAGAACAGAAGCTCTCTGCAAGACGTAAAGGTGCACAGATCCCGTTTCTATGGCCTCCTAAGATCCCCCTTCTGTGCGTTCTCCATGCTCTGGACATATTGGTCCACTTTCTATTCCTCAAATATGCCAAGCTCTCACTGCATTAGAGCCCTCATCTCTGTCACAGATAGTCCTGTGACTGTCCTTCCATCATTCAAGTCAACCCAAACATCACCTCCTCAGAGAGGCTTTCCCCAGCCACTCTGCCTACAGTCTTCACCCACCCCTCAGCCACACCATCTCCGAATTCTATTTCTCTTTCCCCTAAACAGGTATCACTATTAGACATTAAACAGGGAAATAATTTTAAATTATAAGTTTGTTTCGAAAAGTAGAGAAGGACCTTGTCTATTTTTGTTCTGTTTATAATGTGCTCAAGAAATATTTGTGAAATCAATATGTATAAATTATAGAAATGGTAGCAGTCAGTTTTAAAAGTGTTTGATTTTCTCAGCGATGCCTTTAGCTGGTGTGCACAGTAATAAGACGTCTGAATTCACAACCGGGAGTCTTGAAACCTAGCCAACACTGACATTCCCTGGGGGGACCCTGAGCTTCCATTTGCTTCTCTGCTAGACTCTGGTACCTCCTGGTCTCGTTATAGGGTTAGTGAGGAGAGCAGACAATATAAGGCTTTGGCAGATATGAAGAGAATCGTACAACACTACAGATGTTAGATTTTTCTTTCTGTTACATTTAGATAATCACCTTCCCCAGGCAAAGAAGTATTCTTTGTGTAGAACAAGGTAGAATTCACGTGCAGAGACACATCTGATCAAGTCGCTGGCATTCATACAGCCCCAGGACCACCGGGCCGCCAGTGTTGGGTGGTGGTAACCAGGGCAGGCACCTCTCCTATACCTGTCACTGAGACTTTCCCTTCCTGGCTGTCCCTGCCTCACTAGAGATCGCTTCCCTTTGGCATTGGTTATAAACACCTGGGTCAGCCATCCATTGCAGCCCCACACAGCCCAACACAGTGCCTGGCTCAGACTAGACACCCAGTTATTAAAAGTAAGTGTCCACCAACAGATGAATGCTTCACGAAGACGTGGCGCATATATACAATGGAATATTCCTCGGGAACAAAGAGAATGAAATAATGCAGCAGCATGGATGGGGCTAGAGATTAGCATACTAGGGGAAGTAAATCAGAGAGACAAAGACAAACACCATACAGCGTCATGTTCATGGGAATCTACCATATGACACATGTGAGCCTGGCTATGGAACAGAAACAGGCTCACAGACATAGAGAACAGGCTTGTGGCTGCCAAGGGGAAAGGGGAGGGAGACGGACGGACTGGGTCTTGAAACCTAGCCAACACTGACATTCCCTGGGGGGACCCTGAGCTTCCATTTGCTTCTCTGCTAGACTCTGGTACCTCCTGGTCTCGTTATAGGGTTAGTGAGGAGAGCAGACAATATAAGGCTTTGGCAGATATGAAGAGAATCGTACAACACTACAGATGTTAGATTTTTCTTTCTGTTACATTTAGATAACCACCTTCCCCAGGCAAAGAAGTATTCTTTGTGTAGAACAAGGTAGAATTCACGTGCAGAGACACATCTGATCAAGTCGTTGGCATTCATACAGCCCCAGGACCACCGGGCCGCCAGTGTTGGGTGGTGGTGACCAGGGCAGGCACCTCTCCTATACCTGTCACTGAGACCTTCCCTTCCTGGCTGTCCCTGCCTCACTAGAGATCGCTTCCCTTTGGCATTGGTTATAAACACCTGGGTCAGCCATCCATTGCAGCCCCACACAGCCCAACACAGTGCCTGGCTCAGACTAGACACCCAGTTATTAAAAGTAAGTGTCCACCAACAGATGAATGCTTCACGAAGACGTGGCGCATATATACAATGGAATATTCCTCGGGAACAAAGAGAATGAAATAATGCAGCAGCATGGATGGGGCTAGAGATTAGCATACTAGGGGAAGTAAATCAGAGAGACAAAGACAAACACCATACAGCGTCATGTTCATGGGAATCTACCATATGACACATGTGAGCCTGGCTATGGAACAGAAACAGGCTCACAGACATAGAGAACAGGCTTGTGGCTGCCAAGGGGAAAGGGGAGGGAGACGGACGGACTGGGGGTTTGGGGTTAGTGGATGCGAACTATTATATAGAGAATGGGTAAACAACAAGGACCTACTGAGCAGCACAGGGAACTCTGTTCAATATCCTGTGATAAACCATAGTGGAAAAGAATATGAAAAAGAATGTGTATGTGCATATTGCAGCAGAAATTAACACAACATTGTAAATCAACCAGACTTCAATGAAAATCAAGTTCCATAATGGAGGGTGTGTGGCTGCTGAGGTGAGAAATGGCGCTGAAAGAGATGGGATGTCCAAGGCCATTTCTGCCCCTGTCTGCCTGACAGGGTAGCATCTCCCCTTCCATCTATGACGGCTCTCCAAGTTGCAGCTTGATTTTCCTCCTGCATAAGCAGCAGCCGGCTCCTCGTGGCATCCAGGTGCAGTCAAGCCTCCTCTGCCTGGGGAAGAAAGAACAGTTTCACGCGCTGTCTGAGCTCACAACCAGGCTTGTTTGGGCTTTTCAGTAGAGTGGATACCAAGACATTATATAACCCGAGCTCCAGGAGAACCTTCCAGGCTGTCCCCAGGCGAAGGGCACAGGGTGACCGTGGTATTAAAAGAGGCATTTGTTGCTCTTTATACACAAAGGAAATCAAGGTGAAGGTAATACTCAAATCAGGCTGAGCACATTTGCATGAACAAGATGTATGTCACTGGTGGCTTCTATCCTGCATGACAGGCAGACAGAACATTCTCCCCGTTGCCTGTGGTTCTTCATTAAGGCGGAGCTTTGAGGCTAAGAAAGGGTTCACAGTGGCATTTCCACCACCGTCTTGCAGCTGCTCAGAAATCGCCTTCCCCCATGTCTTTAAAGCTTCTCATCCACATTTAAAGCAAGAGTGAAGGGTTGGGGGGAATATAGCTGAATGCAAAAACAAATGCCATCAATAGGGAAAACAATTTCAAAAGGTTCTAACACAGATGAATAATGCAAACCTCCATCATGTTTATGGAGGGGGCAAACATTCAGTATTAATAATTTGCAAAGAAAAATGGCTGTCACTGTTTGTTAACGACTCACCATTTGTTCTGGATACAAACCTAATAATGCCCCATCTTATTAAGAGTTTCTTACTTTTTTTAAAATTTAATTTTGTGAACAAGGTGATGTTTATCAGAGGAAAACCAATATCCTGCCTAAAGCCGACTTTCTTCATTCCCTCCCACCTCTATCAAATATTTATCTGCCTCTGCCATTTTCTTTCTTTTTTTTTTTTTTTTTTTTACTTAATTTTCAACACTAGGCTGCGTTTTTAACACACACGGTGTAACTAGCTTCGGTAGCCAATCATTCTTCCTCCAGAAATGTTTTATTACAAGACAAGGAGCATGCAAAGCAGTTGCATTGTTTTTCAGATTCTCTCTTCAGGGAACACAGTCATTAGCGAATTGTATCAGGAAGAAACACTTGTATAATGTGGCTGTCTCTGCATTCTGAGGATGGCGTTCGTATTGATTTAGTAATAGCTTACAAATAATAACCAAAAATTAGTTCTTCTGAGCTTATGGTTTTCTCCTCTTACTACTGCTGTCTGGATTCAGGGAGCTCACAGACGAGTCCAGAGAGCCTTCATTCACTTTGGTTCCCACGGGAACCACTTTCAACTGGGAGTCCGGGTGATCATGGAAAGCCTGTCTGTCTGTCCATAGAATGCATCTTCATGTCTCTTGCTGGCCACACTCTGGGTAGGTAGCGGACCTGACACACCCAGGTTCTAGATGAAGCCCCATGACATTTTGCACACACACACACACTGTACACACTCACACACCATATGTGAAACTGAAAGTGTCAGTCGCTCAGTCCTGTCTGACTCTGCAACCCCATGGACTGTAATCCTCCAGGCTCCTCTGTCCATGGGATTCTCCAGGCAAGAATACTGAGCTGGGTTACCATGCCCTTCTCCAGGGGAATCTTCCTGACACAGGGATTGAACCTGAGTCTCCTGCATTGCAAGCAGATTTTTTACCATCTGAATCACTCTGCGTGTGTGTGCATGCTAAGTTGCTTCAATGGTGTCCAACTCTTTGTGGCTCTATAGACTGTAGCTTCCCAGGCTCCTCTGTCCGTGGGATTCTCCAGGCAAGAATACTGCAGTGGGTTGCCATGCCCTTCACCAAGGGATCTTCCTGGCCCAGGGATCAAACCCACATCTCTTATGTCTCCTGCATTGTGAAGCGAGTTCTTGACCACTAGGCCAGCTGAGGAGCCTATATATATATATTTTTTTACATTCCATTTCATTATAGATTATTATAGGATATTGAGTATAGTTTCCCTGTGCTATACAATAAGTTCTTATTGTTTATCTACTTTATATATAGTAGTGAAAGTGAAAATTGCTTAGTTGTGTCCGACTGTTTGTGATCCCAAGGACTCTAGAGTCCATGGAATTCTCCAGGCCAGAATACTGCAGTGGGTAACCATTCCCTTTTCCATATATAGTAGTGTGTACATGTTAATCCCAGATTCCTAATTTATCCCTCCCCACCCCTTTCTTTCACTGACTGCTTTAAAACCTTTGACTGTGTGGATCACAGAAACTGTGGAAAATTCTTCAAGAGATGGGAATACCAGACCACCTNGATCCTTGGACACCAAGGAGATCCAACCAGTCCATCCTAAAGGAGATCAGTCCTGAATATTCATTGGAAGGACTGACGCTGAAGCTGAAACTCTAATATTTTGGCCACGTGATGGAAAGAGCTGACTCACTGGAAAAGACCCTGATGCTGGGAAAGATTGAGGTCAGGAGGAAAAGGGGACGACAGAGGATGAGATTACTGGATGGCATCACAAAGTCAATGGACATGAGTTTAAGCAAACTCCGGGAGTTGGTGATGGACAGGAAAGCCTGGCGTGTTGCAGTCCGCGGGTTCACAAAGGGTCGGACACAACTGAGCGACTGAACTGAACTGAGCCCCTTTCTACTTTGGTAACCATAGGTTTGTTTTCTATGTCTCATGCATCGTGGTTTCAAACAACCTTTTTTAATATGTAATTTGGAGCTGGTATCTCAGGCAGGGCTTGTCTGGGCAATGCTTGGGCTCCACTTCCTTCCCACCCCTTGGCAGTGTTGTCTACAGGATCCTAAGCATTCTCACGTGGAGATTTGGGGGCTGCAAGCTGGGTTCGTGTGGTTTCCGCCCCCCAGCAGTCTCAGGTCCTCCCGCTGGTGGCTCAGGGCTCCCTGACGCTGTCTTCCTGGAGTCTCAGGCAGAAGCTGAAAGGCTCCTCCTGGTCCAGCCTTGGGAGTCCCAGGATGGCGTGGAGTCCAGCCCAGACTTCAGGAAAGGGCCATCAGACTGCACTTGTCAGTGGGAGGAGACGTGGAGCGACTGACGCTCCCTGCTGGTTTGCTCACCTGGTGAGCAGGGTAAGGATGGGCTTGGAGCGTAGCTGTGGAAGGAGACGGCACGATGCCGCTAATTCCACTTACGGTTTTTGTATGGAAACAAAAATCCCCAAGTATAATTGCAGTTGCCACCTGACCTTTTCTTAGTGAGAGCCTGACCTTTCTGTAGAAAAAATAATCTGAAGAGTCACTTCAACAGGGAAAGTAGGACACTGGGAACCAAAGCCACACAGAGCTGGTTGTGCCAAGTGGAAGGTGAGAGCTACTTGTCTTTGCCTTCGAGAGGAAAAGAGAGATGAGAAAATAAAGATGAAAGATGTGAGAGAGAAGCTGGAAAGAGATCTCTCACCTGACCCAACACGCGTCGCAGTGGTGGTATGTGTACCCTCCCTGGGTGTTCAGAGAAATCTTGGTGAAGACTCTCTGGGCTTCCTTTCAGGAAATAGAGGAGGTTGGAGCTTGTCTTAGAACTCAGAGGGCAGGGAGGACCCAGCTTCTGTCTGCTTTCCACGTGGTTTGTGGTTCGGACTGTCTCCTTCTTAACTCCTAGCCCAAGAGTCAGCGCATGACCGATTCCCCTGCTGTCCCAGGGCGGGACCCTCCCAAGGCAGAGACGCCAGTGGCTGTCCTGAGCATCAGCTGGGATCCTCTCTGGTCCCACCACACCACGTGCCAATCTCTGGGTTGCCCAGAGATTCCAGGGTCCATGGTAGGGTCTTACCAATCCTGCCTCTGAGGTGGCCAAGGAAACACAGCTACCCTGGGTGTCGTTAGAAGCTTTATCCACAGAGTTCTTAGGGAGTTGTGTGATGTAACAGAAGGAAGGGGGTCCTAGAGCTGGGTCTGGGAATTCTTCTGCACACACAGACACGCACACCTAGATGCACACGTCCATACACATGCACACACGCTCACACATGCATTTCCGAAGTCTGCATTCCCCAAATCATGAAAGACCTGTGTTTTCACAGCCATCTACGTCACAGAAGCTTAGAGGACTTTGCCTTTTGGTTTAATAGAATTGGGACATTTGAAGCACTGTCTTTGTATTTCTTAAAGAACAGATTGTGATATTACAAAGACTATACTTGTCCAAAAAGACTTCAGATGGTTTTGTTAAATGACTCCAGAATGGAGAAGAGGATTCTAAAAGATTGGTCAGTTCCTATTAAATATACATCCAAATGGTTCTTAGAAGTGGGGGCTGTTGAAACATCTCACCCACAGCAATTTCAGGGTGAGTTTTTACTACTTTTAAATGCTTATCTGTGACCTTTGATGTTCTGATTTTTTTCTGGGATTTCTGGCACTTAGATTCACTCAATCTGCCAAGAGAGGAAGTTATACTACCAGGCTGCATAATTTCCTTCTCAGCAGTAAAATATTTCCTTTAAAAAAGTGTAGAGGAGAAGGAATTATGGGAGCAAATATGGTATTTATCATTTGAATTAAAAGACTGAACCTGGCCAATCGTCAAGTTATCAATCCACACATCGTGTCTGTTGTTAGGTGCCCAATTCAGAGAATTTGATTAGTTGATATATTTATATGTGTGCATCGTAAGCCTCAAAACCACTTTCATGTGTATTATTTTTCTTGTCATCCACAAATCACATCCAGAAAGATTGATGGTAATTGAATAAATGGATGTATGTACTTAAAGTCTGAGCTTGTTGAAGACAGAACAGATTTATTAGATGATACGTTTAAATTTTTTTTCTTATATGCCACTGCTCATCAAAACACTTCATTCCAAACAAGGGGAACTAGAGAAAGTATACTGAGGTTCTCAAACTTGTAGTTCCGTGGACAGGAACTGGAGGTCTCCAGGGTCAGTCCACCCCCCGGGGGCTCTTTGTGGACTGAGCCGCGTGGCAGGCTTTGGGGAAGCTTGTGTGTCCCGTATTCTCTAAAACCGTCACCAACAGGCTGCCAGGCTCCAAGGGTCATGATCTGGGGCGAGCAAGGGGCAGACATGAAAACACCGGTACTCCCAGGAACCTCCTTTAACTGTTTATATGCCTCGAGTGTTTAACACTTTGTACTGATCAGATCACTTGATTATTTTCTCCGTGAGAAGGGACGTGAGAAAGGAAGTCTTAAGATGAAGAATAAATTTAGCTCAGAAAGCAAGAAAGGGCCGTGTCGAGCGCTCACCTGTTGGAGAGCTGGGAGGAGAGTGGAGAAGGCAGAAGATGAAAAGGAGGTAGGAAGCAGAGGGGTCCTCCCCGGTGGCGCAGTGGGTAAGAATCCGCCTGCCAATGCAGGAGACTTGGGTTCAGTGCCTGTGTCAGAAGGATCCTCTGGAGAAGGAAACAGCAACCCACTCCAGTATTCTTGCCTGGAGAATCCCATGGAGCCTGGCAAGCTACAGTCCATGAGGTCACAAAGAATCAGACAAGACTGAACAACTAAACAGCCACAACAAAGCAGAGAAGCAGAGTTTGGAAGTTTCTGGAAAAAAGTGATGACGTTCACTAAAACTGGCACAGCATGGACCGCCTTTACCCTGTTTCGCCAGCTCTTTCATCCTTTGTGACATTTATCTGTGCAACCATCTTCCCCGTCAACTGTCACAGTGAATGATGCCAAGCCCTACACGGTTACGAACGAGGCTGCCTTTTCTTCAAATAAAGGCTTCTGGCTCCTTATGACTTTAATGCTTTCAATTCTCCTGCCCATTCATTTTTTCAGATGTAAGTTGTGACACATTTGAAGGTCATGAAGTGAATTTCGTGGATCCTGATCAGCTTAAAGTAGATAAAATGCAATAAAAAAAGCAATACCCTGTGCATCCTAGATAGTAGAATGACCTATTATTTTGTGGAGTTTTGTGTATTATATATGGATTTAGTAAGTGTTTACCGTGTGGCTATATAAGATAGCTCTCATAATAGATGGTAGTCACAAAAGTTTGAAAAGCTCAGAACTCCCTTTTCGGATCATGAAAAAGAAGAGGGATCCTGAGTGGGAAAGGGTTGGCTATTTTAAGAAAAAATTGTTTATTATTTACTTGGCTGGGTCAGGCCTCAGTTGCAGCTCACAGGCTCAGTTGCTCCATAGCGTGTGGGATCTTCCTCCTCCATCCATGTCCCCTGCATTGAAAGCCCTGGACCAGCAGAGAAGTCCCAGAAGGAACCGGCTGTGTAGGCATGGGTTGTTCAGACACTGAACATCCCTGGGAAAGACCTGTCTTTAGGGCTGGTCCTTGGCTGCTCCTGGGAAGTTAGCTCCCATCCCCTGGAACATTCTGTCCCCACCCTGTGAGAGTGTAGTCGTTGGCCTGAGGCCATGGGCCAGCTAGTATGGGTTTGACCTTATAGTCTCCTAAAATGTGATGGGGAAAAGTGTAAGCCATGACAAACTTTATTTTCTTGGACTCCAAAATCGCTGTAGATGGTAACTGCAGCCATGAAATTAAAAGGCATTTGCTCCTTGGAAGGAAAGCTGTGACAAAGCTAGACAATGTATTAAAAAGCAGAACTGTCACTTTGCTGATAAAGATCTGTACGGTCAAAGCTATGGTTTTTCCAAGTGTCATGTATGGATGTGAGAGTTGGACCATTTTAAAGAAGGCTGAGCCTCGAAGAATTGATACTTTCAAACTGTGGAACTGGAAAAGATTCTTGATGGGGAATACATGTAAATCCATGGCTAATTCGTTTCAATGTATGACAAAAACCACTGCAATGATGTAAAGTAATTAGCCTCCAACTAATAAAAATAAATGGAAAAACAAACAAACAAACAAAAAATAGCTCATACAAATCAATAAAAAATATAGTGACATAAAAAAAAAAAAAGAATCCCTTGGGCAGCAAGGAGATCAAACCAGTCAATCCTAAGGGAAATCAACCCCAAATATTCTTTGGAAGGACTGATGCTGAAGCTCCAATACTTTGGCCACCTAATATGAAAAGCCAACTCATTGGAAAAGACCCTGATACTGGAAAAGCCTGAGGGCAAGAGGAGGAGGGTGACAGAGGATGAGATCGTTCAGTAACATCACCGACTCAACGGACATGAGTTTGAGCAAACCCCAGGAGATAGTGAAGGACAAGGAAGGCTGGCGTGGCCATGGGGCCACAAAGAGTCAGACAGGACTGAGTAAATGAACAATGACAGCGAAACGTGATAGAGCGTGAAGCCTGGTTTTGCTTTGAGGTGGTCTGTGTGGTTGACGTCAGCTGTGTGGGTGCCCAGGGACCAACCCCCAATACCAGCTCTGGGCACCAAGCCTCTGGGAGCTTCCTTGGTTAGTAACGCAGTTTCTGGAGAATCAAGCGTGTCCCCGAGATTCCGCTAGCAAAGAACACTGGTCAGCTTACCCCTGCTTCCTCTTGGGTTCAGCCTCAACTGCCTTTTCCTTTTTCTGTTTTTAATCTCTTATCATTTTGCTGTCATAACTGAGTGTAAGCGTTTTTCTGAGTCCCAGTGAATGATCTAACCTTGGGGGGTGTGGGGACCCCTGACCCAGATGCAGACGTTGGACTGAACCAAATCTGAGCTTGGACCACGGCTGACCTTAATGGAGGGGCTGCAGTAGATGACTGCTTTCATGGTGAGTGGGTGGGAAGGCTTCAGCTTTTCTCCATTTATGACAACAGTGGTTCCCAGATGCCACATGTTCAAGTGTCACTGGATGGGAATAAATATTTTACTCCATTTCAGCCTCCATGGAGGGCATGAGCCCGGTGCAAGTAAATACCAGGGGTTATCGTGAACTTTATCTCCAAAGGTAATTCTGGCTCTTCCGAGATCTTCCATATGGGCCTATTCTACCCACTGTGACCTCAGTGATAGTTTTCAAAATTATTTTTTAACTATGCAGTATTGCAAACCACGGAGCTGTCTATTCAGACTCCGTGTGAATTAAAATCAGTGCAACATTTGAATCCGAGCCACACAAAGGTTAGCAGTGGCAGCTTCGTTCTCTGATTGTTGGCTGAGCTTGTTCTTGTGTTTCCCTGTTGTGTTGGGGAAAAGAACCAAAGAGATTAGTAGTAAAAGCTTTGAGATCTAATTATGATGAGGGAGTTCCAAAGGAAATTAAACATAGCATGATTACTTTTTAAAAAATACAAATTAAAGAGAACATCTTAGCAAATAATCCTCCCCGTTCAGCAAGCTCATTTCCCATCAGGAGGTGGAAGAGGATATTTGAGAGCTCTTATTAGCGAATAATGGTGCCTGGATTTTTATGACGCTTTTACTTTATCTAAATATTTTCTTTCGTTGTTAACTTACGTGATTCGCCCAGGTTTTTACTCGTCTTTGCAATCATTTTCAAACAGTACCTAGTTGGAGAACTACTGCTCGACTCCATCTTCTGCATCCTAAGAGCCCTGGGTTTTGGTGGAAGGTCTGGGCTGAGAAGGTCCGAGGGGACGGCAGATGCTCAAGACTGGGTCCTCCCGCCGCCCCACAATCCACCAACCATGTCAGCCAGAACCTCCTTGAATAAAACTGGGAGGCTGTGGGCGTGGGAGGGGACCCAAGACGGGCCTCGCCGGACCTCAGGTCTCCATGGAGCGTCTCTTCTGGTCTCAGAGGGCTTGGGGGTTTCTCCTCCTTCCTGGACTTCTCACCGTTTTCCAGGCCAGTGGGCATTTCTCCTCTGCTCCACACCGTGCCGCCTTCCTTAGGCTTTGACCCGTGTCTTTTGGCACAATAAGGAAGGACTGCACCCCCCTCAGAGAGTCCACCTGCTCTGTTCTTTCTTGGTCATAGCTCCTGCCAGCCACCCGCTCCCTTCTCTCAATGCACATTCCACCC